ACCAGGCTGCTCTGCTTGTGACACAGAGCTCCCCTGTTTCTACAGCCTGTCTCCTTTAGCAGAGGTCATCCCACACTGGAATAGTGAGCTTCCCTATTCCCCAATGGACTCCCCAGTCCCACCCTTCCTGCAGGCACTGGCACGGTCTGCAGACAGCCAAAGCAGCACCAGCCGCAGATGGATCCAGGACTGCACAGGGAACAATCTGAGAGAGTCAGCTGGGATTACTCCCCCGCCTGGTCAGATCCTGGCGTGCCTGGCAGGAAAGGACACGTGTGCTCATTTCCTCTCCCTTTGTGAGCGCTCTGCTCTACACGCGACCATCCTCCCCAGAGAGGAACTGCAGAGAAACCTCCACGCCAGGGCAATAGTGCACGGTGATCCCATCAGTCAAAAGGGTAATGAGAGGCACACTGGCCCCTCCAAAAAGACACATTCTCCCCTCACGCCTCCTGAAGTCCCCTGGGAAAGCAGGGAAGCTCTGCTGCTGCAGTCTCCACTTCTTCGCAGCACTGTTAGGAGAGAGCTGGACAACCCACTCGCCTTCAGGAAACCTAACGCGGTCTCAGCCTGCACTGACTGCACAGCACAGCCCAAGTGTTGGCTTGGAGCAGCAACTGCAGCAGCCTGAGGAAGCGCAGAGCCCTGCCGAGCAGCGGGAACGCAGCGCTCATTGATCATGAGGGCAGACTCGCTGCCGGGCCACGCGCCAACACCGGCGGCGCGCTGCCTGCTTAGAGACCGTGGGTTCCCCGAGACAGCACTGCAGCATCTACAGGACAGGATTCATCTGCACCAGACACATCACTGCCAGAACACAACATTAACGAATCCTGACTAATTAGCGCCTTTGTTTAACATAACGCAGCTATTCACATAACTGGCTGCAGTTCCATCAGCTCTGCCTCAACCACCATGCAGACGGACTGGCATGCAGGCACAGGTTCATCCTTAAAATATTCCATGTACTCAAAACATATGGTGCTATAGGAATTGCCCATGGGGACTGCCACAGGGCTACACCACAGACCTGCCCGCGCTGGCCCTGCTGGACTCCGCTGCAGCAGGGCTGCCTGCTGGGCTTGGCGGGGTGCCGCAGCGAGGGCAGGACAGAAAGGTGCCAACTGGGGCAAACAGGCCCATGCTGCTGTCTGCTCCTGCTACAGCCCGTATCTGCTGGGAAGGGCTGCGGTTTGCAGCCGCAGGAGGGAACCCCAGGGGAGCAAGAAGGGGCATGGCAAGGGCACACTGCACCCACCACCACCTACTGCAGCACCAGCTTGCACTGCACACGGATGCGCTTGCACCTGGATGCACCATTCTTGCTCGAGTGCTTGATGGAAAAATCTGGAGGGCTGTGACAGAGGAAAGAGAAGGGCATA